TGTGTGTGTGTGTGTGTGTGTGTGTGTGTGTGTGTGTGTGTGTGTGTAAGAAATCTAAATGGAGTCATCAAAAATAGGAAAAAAAATACCCCAGCTTTCACTACCAAGTGAAACTTCCAGTACCAGAAATGGGTTACATCTAATTGAGTTGTTGGCCAAAGAGGCACAATGGAAACTCACAAATAACTTAGGATATCTCCATGAGCATTGTTTTTACACTACAAGGTGATAGCAAGGTCCTATTGCTGAATACAACACATACATATCTCATTGAAAATGGATAATTTGAGCTGGTACCTAACTAGAGCCTTCCCTCTACTGACCAGTATTAATGGTGCTGGAAGGTACTCTGCATGGTACACGGGAGAAAGGTGTCATCCCAGCCATCAACCCTGTGATCAAAAATGGCAACCAGCCTGCCTGATATCCTGGTGCAATTGTGACATAAAAGTTGTGGAAGAAATCAACCACTATCTGATTAGATTCAAAGCCCACTCCATGAAATGGAACCCATGCCTGTTACTGTTAGGATGGCCAAGATCCTGCGACTAGCTAGGCCATGTGACAAGGGGAAATCAAATACTATTATTACTCTGCTAAAGAAACATAGAAAGAAAATGACTCCTAACAATGTTCTGCTAGACCCATAGATGAGTGCCTTATGCAGCCATATCAGAGACTTCCTTAAGGCAGAAGATAGGAACTAATATAGAAACTGAAAAATGGAAAATGTGAAGAGTGTGAGACTTTGGAACACTCATTTCTAATGGGAGATCTTCATCAACCCACTCCTGTTCCATTGCTAGGGAAACATGCAGAAGAGGAGGAAGAAATTAAGAGACAAAGGGATGGATAACACCAAGAAAATAGTGCCTTCTGGGCACAAGAGAACTAATGTACATATGAACTCACAATGAATGTGGCAGCATTCATAGGGCTTACATAGGGCTTGCACAGGTCCAAGCCAGATGGGGTCCCAGTGCTGGGAGAGGAAGTGAACATGAACTCCCATGACCAACCAAGGATCTATCTCCAATTAACAACTGCTTACAAAGACAAAATTCATTTTCTCCAATGGAATTTCAAATGGTACATAAGCTATGCTTAACGACAGGCCCAAAGCCCAAGAGTAAATGGCCAAAACAAAACAAACTCAATGTGCTTTTGCAGATTTTTGTTTGTTTGCTTCATATTGCTTTGTTTGGGCATTTATTTTATCTTGCTGGGTTTTTTTTTTTTTACTTATATATTATTGTTTCTGATTTTGTGTTGTTATGGTTTTTGTTTGTGTGCATATCTGTGTTTCTTGTGCATTTTCATTGTTTTATTTTATAATTTCTGGGGTTTTGTTTGGTTGGTTTTTGCTTGTTTGTTTTCTAAACAGAGAAAGAGAGAAGTTGAATGTGTGTGGAGGTGGGGAGACCATAATTAAATATACTGTATTGATTTTCAATAACAAAAAAGAAAACTCAAAAAAAAAAAACTAGATCTTACCTGAGGGCTCTTCATTACAACATTAAAAAGTATTGGGCCCTAAAATTAGCAAGGGTACCATTTATCACTGCAATAAAATAATTTTCTCTGAAGAAGCAGTAAAATATGTTTTAATATATAACAAGATTGAATTAAATAATTACATCATTAATTCTAGAACATTTAACTATAAGAGATATTTTTGGTTGTATAAGTTCTATGTTCATTATAAATTGATTTATAAATAATATATATAGGTAAATATAGAATAAACCTTGTATGTCAAGAAGTAAATTCTAGAAGGAAATAGTTTTGCTAATAAGATGTGTGTATAAGCATTTCCTCATCATCATTATTCTCTAGTAAAATAGCTCTTAATATTACGACTATAAACATATTTCCTAGAAAATCATTCTCTTCTATGTGATATGACAGATATATTTTAGAATTTTAAATTTTAGACCTTTGTATTAACTCTAGAATATACTGGGTGAACATTTAAAGAGTAAATCTCTTTATCTAGCTACCTACCTACTACTAACTGAAATGCATATAAACATCTGTCTTCTTTAAAATCATGAAAAGAACCAAGCTTTTCAACTGACACTTAAGAGTTTGTATAATGCTGTTCACATGTTGTTTCTCATATCATATATACTGTCATCATGCAGCCTAACTCATCATTCAAATAATAATCATCAAATACTATAAATACACTACACGACTTCCATATTAATTCCAATAATTTTAATAGAATTACTTTTAGGATTTTAAAAGAATACTCCAATTATTATGATTCATAATCTTCTGAAATACAGAGAATTTCAGAAATATCCTTCACTTATCACCATATTTGGTTAGCAATTTGAAACCTATCTTTTGTCAAATTTATGAAAAGAAGACGTTATCATGAAAATATGACATCAAAGAAGTGATGCTTCAAAATGTACCTGCTTGCTGTGGTTTTCTTTATATGCTGATTTCCAAGGATTTGGAACTATCCTAGGGGTGCAATTTTGGCTTGGACTATGTCTGTTAGAGGGTAATTCTGCTGGAAATGATGGTGGAATATAACTGTAGTCTTCTGTTTTGTTGAACATTCTGTATGAGTTCATATTTTGTGATGGCTATAGGAAAATAAAAGGTAAAATTACAAAAGTACAGAAACTGGAAGTCAAAATAATAGAACTAAAATTAGTAGGGAAAGGGTGTGGTTACAAAAGAGGAAGTCCTAAGGAAAGGCAAAACATTAGTAATTCATAAGAGTCAATGAGATCTTACTTAAGAACTCCTTCCCTCTGGTCTCCATAATGTCTTCCTCTCTCAAGCTTCTCTTTTGAATGTCACCTAGTCACATAAAATCTTAAAAATCTGAGGACAGGATGTCTATGGTATTCTATTGCTACCATCAGCTTCCACTGCCTTTCTTATCTAACTTAAACCTGACAATTAAAGAATAAATAAGAATAATTAATATTCTTTGGACATTAATTAGAATTTCAAGCTTTAATCAACCTGAGCATTTTCTAATTTATTATGGTTTTATTTGTAAAAAATAATTGCAGTACTTCGAAAAATTATCATGTGATAAATGAGCTCCCAACATTTGATATAAAGAAAATCTTCTCATTATATTTGAAAAGAAAACTGATCAGTGATCATGTGAACCTAATAAGACTACCTCAGTGTGATCTGTGAAGATGGTCCATCAGTAAACTGCTTTCTGTGCAAAAAAGTGCCAAGTCTGATTTTCCCACACCTACATCAAAGAGCCAGGAGTGTCAGTGCACACTTGTAATCCAGAAGAAACCAGATAGATAGATAGATAGACAGATAGACAGATAGACAGATAGATAGATAGATGATATATAGATACTTGAAAATAATCTCTATGTGAATTATGCTTTGTACCTCTTAAATAACCAAGGAAAATCAAGTGTTAAACACACAGTCCACATTACCATCACTCCCAGGTGGCTTCATAATCAGACTTATTTATTCTTAAGAATAAATTTCCTACATTGGAAAACTGTAAAAGGAATCATTTGGAAACTGTAAAAAAGTTGGAAGATAACTAATTATTGTTTTAAAAACTTATAGTTTTCTTTAAAACTCACTTGAACTAGGCCAGTTTCTTTCTTGCTACATAATCTTTGATAGGGTACACTAAAGAAAACAAAAAAAAATTAGGTTAAAAATACAAACATCCATAAAATTTATCTTATGTATATAGAAATTTCATAATATCTACAAAGCTTTCAACATGGAAAGCACCAGGGTCATAAAACTACTAAGTTTTAGGAAAAAAAAATATATTAAACTAGGATAGGCATTTGCTAATATAGAAAACCAAAGACATGCATAAACTCTAACCCCAATGATGTGCATCCTAACAGTTTTATGATATCATAGGACAAACAAGAACTGGAGGCTGAGGGTAATGTCCTTCTCAATAGCCCAGCAAATAAGAAAGTTGATAATATTTTTTTGTCAGCTAATCAGTATCCTAGTTAACACTTACTTATTTTCCATATCATCAATGCATAGGTTAGAAGGTACACAATGAGGTGACATTGGAAGTTCTAAATCATGCTTTCTCAGTGGCATTTTCAAATCTCTATTCATATTCACATGAGTTGGTCTTTTCATGCTTTCTATAATAAAAAATTAAATAATTTTAAAATAGAAGCTTTAAAATCATTGTTTGCTATGCCTTTCAATTAATTGTACATATAAAATGTTCTTCTAAAACATGTTCTATACATACAATTACAGAAACAGACTATTAACAACTATTAATGAAATTAATGTTTTTCTCCTGTTTCTTAGTCCTCAATGAAGGGGCTCTACCAATTCAACCTAATTTCTTCTTTCCCAATTACTGTATCAGATACTGTGTTATATAGTCTCATAGCTCTATATATTTTCTCTGTTTTAGCACTTTGCACACTTGATTAACTTTATCTCCCTCAACAGAGTGTAAACTTTAGAGTAGTGATTCTCAAAATATGGGTCACAACCCTTTTGGGGGTCAAACAACCCCTTCATGGGGGTCACTTAAGACCATCAGAAAACACAAATATTTACATTATGATTAATACAAGTAAAAGAATTAAAGTTTCAAAGTAGAAGTTAAAATAATATTGTGGTTGGGGGTCGCTACAATACGAAGAACTGTACTAAACTGCAGCTTAGGAAGACTGAGGACCACTGCTTTAAAGGAAGGGAACTTCTCTTTATGCAAGTGAGATAGATCACTGTCTTATTTGCTCAGAATCCACCCCACTACAAAGTTCTAGTGGGAATTTTCTTTCTGTACAAACATCTCCTTTTGAACAAACACCTGGATCAAAGGTAGCCATCTGAGCACAGATAAATGAGCCATTGACTTCTAACCCTCTGACTCAGCACAACTGTCCAACTGGTGCCGTCCAGCTGTACCAGAGGGCAACTTCTGGTGGAGCTCAAAAAGTTGGCATGAGAGAAACAATCCATACTCTTTGGGAATTGAGCAAAAGAATACTCGCTGTGAAGACCAGCTTTTAACTGTTCTCAATGAAGGCAACCTGAGAGATGAGGTTCCTCACTTAGCAGAGAAAGGATCTTAGTGGGGTTCAAGTTCTTGATCAAGGTATTTCTGCAGATGGTGCACTACTGCACTAACTCTGAAACTTCTGCCATCAGCAGCCACCAAGCTATGACTAATAAAATCCTGCATTCTAGTTCATCCTCTGTGTGCAATATTTATCACTGTACTCAATAACCATGTTGAATGGATAAGTGAAACTACACAAAGAAAGTGATACAATGCATGATGAATTCTAGATACGGCAGCTGAGAAAGCAGAAGCAGCAGAAGGGCGCTATCAGCTTTCCTTCTCAAATGATAAGAGAGGATAATACATTCATTATTTTCATCTCTCAAGCTAGCCTTTGGTGATTGTTTGCCCAGAAACAATAATATCATAACTACAATAACTCCATGATAAATTAATGATAGCAAACAAGTCAATCGTATACAACACACACTCAGCCTAAAAGTAAAACAAATAGATCCAAATACTGGTTAAACTTACAATATAAAAAGGCAACAAAGGTTTAAAATAGATTACCAATATGCTCTGAGTTCTGGAATTTCAACCCAATTTTAGATGTTATTATGAGTTATCACATCAAGATCAAAACAAATGCTTTAGAAAGACTTACCAGGTGTTTTCTTCTTCGAAGATATCTGATTTACCATATACAAATTAAGAAGGTCTAAACTGACCGTGGGGTTCTTGACAGGTGAAAAAACTCCTAGTAATTTCATTTTTGATTTTAACTTGTTCCTTTCAAAGTATTCCTAAAGTAATTAAAAATTAAAAATATTAGCGGGACTTGGTAGTGCACGCCTGTAACCCCAGGACTTGAAGAGGGAAAGGCAGGCAGATCTCTGTGAGTTCAAGGACATCCTGGTCTACAAAGGGAATCCAGCACAGCCAAGTCCATACAGAGAAACCCCATCTCAAAAATCAAACAAAACAAAACAAAAAAGGATTAAAAATATTAATTTCTCAATCATACAATTCAAGTCAAATCATAAACAATAAATGCACTGAAGCTACCCTGCCAATTCATGTTTTCTCAACTGTAACACAACATTCACGTTTACATGTGAACTGAAATAAATTATGATAGCTTGTAGTTGGCCTACAAACTTTAAATCTGACAGGTAGAAGGGGAGGGGTTGCACACACAGACACACACATACAAACTAATAATAATAAAATTGTACAGCCAACTAAGAGGAAAGCAAAAGTTATGTGAGAACTAACCTGCAACCAATGCCAATTTTCACTGTATCCCAACTGCTTAATGTTTTCTATAAACCAGACTTCACATATATATCATTATTTGTCCAGTTTATATTTTTCCTTGATTTCTGAACTATAATTATTCTTCATTTTTAGTTACATCTTTACTAAATTCAAGGAGCTTTTAATGTTATTTATTTATTTAAGTCTCTTTGTTTTGTACTGTGTGGAAGTGCACGTGAGTGAGGAAACCTGTGGAGTCCATAGACTGCTGTTGAGTCGACTGCCTCTGGAGTCTCAGGCTGCTGGGAGCCAGCTGACATGGGTGTCAGACCAAACTCAGGTCTTCTCTGAAGGCCGTTTGTGCCATGAGACACTGGACCAGATCTCCTGTCCACTTTTAACCTTTAAATTAGTATTTTAAACTATCAAAGTAACGGGTTTCATTGTTGCATTTTCATGTGTATGTGTCCTTCTAACTCTCTTAATTGTTCCCTTTACCCACTCTTCTCCACAGTCCTCTTCCTGTGCTACTCTGCACTCTGACTGGTCCCTTCCTCCTCCTTGGTAGTCTCGCTTCTGATTTCATCACCCTCTCTTTTCTCTGCTCTCTAAAAAATATCTCCCCTGCTTCTCCTGATTTCCTTTTTATTTCAAAATCTGTACATATACAATAAAACATATATATTTATATGTTATACATATATATATTTATTTATGTCATATGTATTTACAATTTTAAATCTAGATTCCATATATGAAAGAAAACATGAAGTATTTTGTCTTTCTTGCTCTGGCTTGTTTTACTTAATGATTTCCAGCATTTTCCTGAAAATGTTTTGATTTCATTTTTCTTCATAGCTAAATAACTATGTATCATATTTTTATACATTCTTCTGATGCTTGATGGTGAGTGCAGGCTAGTCCCATTCTGAGCTACCGTGAAGAGTGTAACTAAAAACCAAGTTGGTCAGTCCTGAAATAATATACATACAAATAACATTACATCTACTTACATATTTAAAAATATAGACACACATACAACAGAAATAACAAAGAAATAAAGACCACGAATTTGAGAGAAAGAGGAGAGGGGGGTATGAGAAGGGTTAGAAGAAGGAAAGGGGTGAATGATGTAATCATATTTTAATTAAAAAATTAAAATATACGTTAAAATCACAGACTAGCAACTTCGTGACATTTTCTTCCGATATAGGTAACAGCATTGGCCTCCCCCTTAAGTTTCATCCTATGAAGTTATAATAGCCTTCTTCCTAAAACCTAAAAAATAAACACTGGAAGACCCATAAAAGAGGTCATTGTCAAAGATCAAGCAAAGATATAAACTTCCCATTAAACAAAATGAATCAAACATAAAAGATATACATATTTCACTTGAATGATCTATACTTCTACGTTGGAATGAAATATCTTCAAAATTTTCATACCATATATGGTTCCATAATGAAATAACAGGTCCTATAGGATGCAATTTTTTTTTTTTTTCTGGTTGAAAGGAAATCTGTGTCAGGTCTTATAATTGATGGTATCTCAGAATTAAGTCAGTACAGCTTAAACCACTTCATTTTGTGGTAGATAAAAGCCAGTGAGGGACACAGCACAAGTTGGTGTGACAGGAGATGGTATATCACCTGGGGAGGAGGGGTGCGGGTAGGCAAAGGGAGAGCAGGAGTACAAGAGAAGCTTCCTAGAGATGATTTCTAAGACACGTGGGTGAATCTGAGTTAGTCTCAGAGAGTAGCACTGTAAGTTTACAGGAGTCAAGAAGGGTGGTGAATGGTACAGACTGAAGAGGAAGTAAGCCTTTATTTCCAGGAGTACTGAATAGTTAGTTTTGCTCTTCTTCCTTTAGTTATCATGCTAGTTCCTAATCTCTGTCCACACAAAAAGTCAAAGTGAGTGACTATTTCATCTAAGAAGACTAGGCTCAGCCTTTCTGATGAAGTCTGGCTTGGTAGAATCAACTAGAAAATAACCTAAAGAGGAACAAATCTTTCACAAAACAAATCAAATTTTAACTTGCAAATAACCATTAAAATGAATAATTAAAGAGATAAAAACCTAGAGATGTGTTAAGAAAACATTGGAGGAGTTTCAAGCTGAGGAGAATGAGCAGTTGTATAGGAGATGATGATATAGTAAAGTAAGTTTGATTGAAAATACTTGACACTGATGGAGGGGAGGAAGACCTCCCCTATCAGTGGCCTGGGGGAGGGGCATGGGAGGAGACCAGAGAGGAAGGGTGGGGGAGGGGAAGAGGGAGGAAGCTACAACTAGGATACAAAGTGAATAAATTTTAATAAATAAAAAATAAATTATAAAAAGAAAAGAATTGACATTAACAAGACTGAACAGGAAGGACAGCAAGCCGGAAAGCGGAGGTGGCTTTAGACTGGAGTGCTTTAGTAGGAAAAAGATCTACCAGAGGAACCCCACGCTGCCACTGTTTCCACTCCCTTTCCTCTCACTGAGCACACTGATGTTCTGGTTTCCTCCCTCCTGCCCTCTCTATATTTGTGGAGTTTCTGTACAAGGAATCTCAGTGCTTACATGATATGTTCTTTCGCTCAGGGTTGTAGACCTGAGAGTGACACACACTAACCGCATGCACTTAACGCATTATCTCTACTAAAGCACTTAATTCTTCCACAGGCCACACTTTGTTTACTGCTCATATTACTAATGTACTAATGGAAATTTGGGGGTTTCCCCATGCATGTTCAATTGCTCTCTCTCTCTCTCCTCTCTTATACAGTAATAGCAATGACCTAATTATTCATGTATGTTTCTGTAAGTATACATTTTCAAATTTTTTTTCCAAGATATATACAGCTAGTTGTAAGGTATAATATTATTACGTGATTTCTCCCTTTTCTTTCCTCTCCCTAAACCTCCTTGCTATCTTTCAAATTCGTTGCCTCTTTTTAAAATGTTGTTACATACATACATGTATATACATTCATATCCCTAACTATAACCTGCTCGGTATATATGTCACTCATAAGTATGTTTTTAGGAAATGGATAACCATTTGGAAATGGATAACAAATTGGTACACTCTTTGTGAGGAAGACTGTTTCTCTCACTCTCCAAATTTTTTAGTTGCTTGTGTAAGGTTGAGGTCTTGTGGACTTTCCCACATCCACTATTGTTGCTCTTGTTCACCTCATCTTTAGGCAGTCATGCTGGTAAAACTTTATAGGTGTAGCTTTTGACATTACTAGAAGACACAATCTCACAGCAAACTCACTGATCTTCTGGCTATTATAATGAATATAGTAAAAGCTGACAAAATAAGCCAGGCATAGGACACGAGATTATTATAGTACTTTATACAATATGTGATGGCTTGAATTACAGAATTAATATTATGAATAATAAGAAGTGGGTAGATTTGAGATGAATCTTGCAGTTAGAAAGGCAGCAACAGTCAATAATGACCACTTTAAATGTCTGCCCAAGCAAAGTATGCTGTTTAACAAGCTATGTACAAGAAAAAAAAGAAGGTAAAATGAAGGCTTCTTCCAGTCTTATATAAGTTAATCCATTTTTTTTGAGACAGGGTCTTGAAGGTCTGGCGAACTGGCACTCACTATGCAACCCAGAGTGGGCTTGAACACGCATCAATCTTTCTGTAATTTAGATACATACAGAAGTATGACACTATGCCTGGCCATAAGGTGAATTAATTAATAGTAGTGATTCAGAAGTTTAATGTTAAGTTTGCTATTATAGAGCTAGCATCACTCAATTTATAATGCCCTTACCTTCTGCTTTCTTCTTTCTTGTTTTATCAGGACCCTGGTCCTAAAACATGAACAAAATGAACCATTCAATTATTAAAGAAACAGACCATTTCTAAGATGATTGACCTTTCAGTTGGAAATATGAAATTAAAATCTAAAAATTTACCTATCATTGTAATATTTTCTGAAAATATGAAAATGTCTTTAAAATTTTTATAGTGTGTAATGGTTTATATAAATTTCTCAGGAAGTCCAAATGCAAAAAAATTATAACAATAATTAATAACAGACAAAAATAAATCTTAGATAAGGAATGTTTTCGAAATGCCATATTACTGAACCATTCTCACCTGATAGAAACACTTTTGGTCAACAACTCCATTTCCTTTGATTTTCTTTATATTTCCACGTTGCTTGATGTCACTTAGGTAGAGACGAAAGACATAAATCCCTTCAAGTTCTAAGGAACTATGGCATGTACTGCTCGAGCAACTTTAACTGCACTAATATACCAGTTATAGCATACACCTGTAATTGTAGTAGTTGGGACCCTGAGGCAAGAAAAACATGAGTTTGAAGGTCACCTTACACTACAGAGTTGTTCTGGAATACTCTGAGCAACATGGCAGGACACATGACTCTAAACTTAAAACATCAAGGTCCAAATCATTAGCTCACTGGTAGAACCCTTATCTAGCACTCACACAGTCCTGACTTTAATCCTCAGCACTGCCAAAGGCAGAAGGAAAGGAGAAAGCCCTCCCTACTCTATGTCAGTTTGAGTTGCTAAAAAACTATGTAACCAATATTGGGGCACACACACTAAAACAAACAAACAAACAAACAAAAACCCTATACCCCTAGGTATGCCACTTTGCAATGCTAAGTACTTTGAAGAAAAGCAATACTCAAAATAAAAGTTTTGCTAGAACCACCTCTTGATTGCCTTCCTATTACTGTCATCTCTTCCTCACAGTGGACCAAAGAAACTACAATTATTTCTTTTTACCACAGATCATAGAAAATAGAACTTGCTTCCATACAGCTAGTCATGAACTCTAGAAATAGAACTTAGATTTTATTTTATTTTTTTTTATTTTTTTATGTAAGAGCTGACTATCAAAGAAATTTCCCGATCACTCTTGTTTGATATAGACTATGGAATCCACATTCAATTTAGAAAGGGGTCTTGCCTCATACTTGACCGGAAAAAAAAAAAAATGCTACATAGAGAATCCAAGGAGAATCCATGGGCTTCTACTCTTATTATTATTATGTCATACTGTTTGCATCCAATCATTCTTATTCATAGGTGTCACTTCTTCATCAAACCTAAGCATAAGAAAGAATGGTTTTCCCTGGGTTTTGTGTCTTCATTTCTGATTCCTGGATCACATGAAACTGAGTAAAATAAATGTTACACTTCTCTCTCCACAATCTGTCTTTAGTTACAAGTCTGTGTCAGCTGTGACCTTTATGATGTGTAGGAAAGTTAGTATGCTTTTCTGCCTAAACTCAAACAACAGAAATTCCTCTCAGTTCTGGCACCTGTACAGAATACAGTCAAAATGCCCAGTTACATATCTAATAGATGTCCATTTTCTGAATCACAGATGAATACTTTACAGTATTTGTTCACATAGTAAAGGAGTGGGCTATCTCCCTGGAACATCTTTGGTAAAGGTAGAAGTTATAATCATGGACGATCCTCTCTTACAAATTAATACCATCCCAGGTCTCACACCTCTCCATACCATCACCGTGGGGGTTAGAAAATTCAAGTCTCAGCCATATAATGTAAAGACATTAATTAGCAAAGAACAGAATCCTGTAACTTGGGGTGGAGATGTGTGGAAGGACTCTAGTGAGGCTGAGAACTTTGAAGCACAGATTCGCAAGCATCTCACCTGAGGAAGTAGTTGCTCCATCATTAGCAGAAGACACACTCCCACCCCAATTCTCAGAAATATTGCCTTTTCTGCCTTTGACTGGGAAAAATATTCTTTCACTGTCCGATAAACCAGAAGTGACTTCCCTGAAGGAGCTGCCAGGCAAGACAATACTGATGTCCCACCAAAAGCTTCTTTTAGACTACAACAGGATTAAAGCTAAGCAGGATCCTAGAGGGGATGCTGAGAGTGTAGTCCATAAGAATGTGCCCTGCATTATTAAAAAGCTACCTGAATTTGCTAATTCATTCTAACATAAGTCTGAGATATGTGTGAGAGTGAAATTTAAGGGTGTGGGATAGTGGTAGAAGGGAACACAAAACTGGATCAGGCTGACCTAGTTGATACTGTACTACTAAGTGGCGATTCTATGGAAGCACACACAGTTAAAAGTTGTCAAACATTTGCTTGAAAGGTTGGCTGAAGCATTTGCCAAAAGATGACAACTGAAAAGGAGTTGGAGATGCCCGGTATCCTTTGGCTTAGTGTTGATGAAGTGGTTTTAAGGCTCAGAGAAACTGCAATGCTGGAATGAGTACCCTGCATAAGATCTAATTCTCCGCACTGGGAATGTCAAGAAGATAGACCTTCACTAAACCTATAAGATACAAAACTGTGACAGAGGCACCAGAACATTTAAAGAGCTTTGTGCCAGACCTTAGGGTTGAAGACTCTGCTGCTCATGGATGAATTAAATGCAGTGGGTTTAACTGGGCCGCGTGGTAGCAGGGGCCAGGTGACGGCACTGAATCGCCAAAGGTAAAGTGCTCATAGATATCATAATAGTAAGCATAGGCAAAGCAATATTCATAATGGCCTGACCTGAATTGGTCAGCACAGGCAGTGAATTTTATGGTGGCATAACTAGGTGTGGACCTTCGGTACTGGCTAATCAATAATTGTATTTCCAGATATGGAATATAACAAAAGCCTACTGCATTTCTATTTGATCAACATAAACAGGAAACTCCCAATCAAATTGAAGAAATGATCTATTAGATTATCAGAAAGGGGAATCTTGGCCTGTGAACCAATTTCCAAATGAGCAAATTTGAAGATCCAGAGCCCCTTGAATGAAGGGGTGGCCAGGTCCCACTATGGAAGGACCTAGATAAAATTCTTAAGATTGTTATTGTTATGTCTATTTCCAGTCCTTTCCCTAGAAGGACCCAAGGAACATAAAACCGGATTAGGCTGATTACCTTTCACAAAGTAACTGTATACTAGAGAAAAAGAACCAATCAGACTTTCCATAGCCTATTGTATACTGGTTCAGAATTGACAATAATTCTGGGAGACTTCAAAAAGCTTTGTGGCCCTTCAGTTAAATTAAAGCAGGGACTTATGGAAGACAAGTGATTAATGGAGTTTAGGATAAATTCCAACTCACTGGTCTAGGAGTTCCTAAATTCATCCGTAGTTATTTCCCAAGTTCCATAAAGTATAATTGGGATAGATATATTTAGATGTTGGCAGAATTCTTACATTGTCACTCTGACCTATGGAATGAGGGCTATTATGGTTGAAAAGGCCAAATGGAAGCCAGCAGAATTTCCTTTATTGAGGAAAATAGTGAATCAAATAAGGAATTGCAGAAATTAGTGCTACCATCAAGGACTTGAAAAATTCAGCAGTGGTGGGTTCACTATATCTCCCTTTAACTCTCCCATCTGGCCAGTGCAGAAGAGAAATGGGTCATGGAGAATGAATGACAGTTGACTATTAAAAACTTAATTAAGTAGTGATTCCCACTGCAGCTGCTGTACCAGATGTGGTGTCCTTTCTTGAGCAGATTAATGCATCTCCTGGTACATGGTATGCAGATATGGATCTAACAAATGCATTTCTGTTGGTACCTGCCCATAAGGACCACCAGAGCAATTTTTCAGTAGACAAGGTCATCAGTATACCTTTATAGTTTTACTTTAAGAATATATTAACTTTCCAGCACCATGTCCTAACTTAGTTTGCAGGGATCTTGATCATCTGTCTCTTCCACAAAATTTCACATCAGCTCATTACATTGACAATATTATGCTGAATAGACAAACTGAGCATGGATAGCAACTGCTTCATACTTGTTGGTAAGAAAATGTACATCAGAGGAAGGAAAATAAATCCAACCAAATTTAAAAGACCTTCTATGTCAGTAAAAGTCTTAGGAAGCCAGTGGTGTGAGACATTCAGAAATATTCCTTCTAAAATGAAGGTTAAGTTGGTTTTGTTTTTTAACCTGGCTCCTCCCACCACAAAGAAAAAAAGCACAGTGTTTAGTGGGCCTACTTGGAGTCTAGAGATAGCACATTTCTCAGTTGGTTGTGTTACTCTGGTCCATACACCAAGTGGCTCAGAAAGCTATTAGCTCTGAATGGGGCCTGCATCAAAGAAGGGCTCTTCAGCAGGTCTAGGTTGCTGTGCAGGCTGCTCTGTCACCTGAATCATATAATCCAGCAGACCTAATTGTGTTTGAGGTATCAATAGCACAAAAGAATGCCATCTGGTGCCTCTGGCAGGCCCCTATAGACAAATCAGAGAAAAGACCTTTGGGATTTTGAAACAAGGCTCTACCATCATCTACAGAGTAGTCCCCCTTTGACAGCTCTTGGCCTGTTTTCTCATCTTAGTGGAAACTTATCATTTGACAATGAGCCACCAAGTTACCATGCAACCTGAGCTGCCCATCAAGAGCTGGATATTACCTAACCCACCAAGCTACACAATGGGAAGTGCACAGTGGCAATCCATTTTCAAATAGAGGTGATATACACATGATCAGTACTGAGCAGGTCCTGAAGGCACAACAAGTTACATGAAGGAGATGTCCAAATGCTCATTGTTTCTATTCAGTTACACTGCCACCTGCTCCCAAGGATGCACCTATAGCCTGATGGGCATGCCTTATGAACAGCTGACTGGGAAAGAGAAGACTAGAACCTTGTTTACTAATGGTTCTGCATGTTATGCAGGTATTACACAGAAATAGACAGTTTTATCACTGAAACCCCATTCTGGAATAACCCTGAAAGACATGGGAAAAGGAAAATCATCACAGTGGGCAGAACTTGGGTCAGTATACATGATCTTACATTTTCTTTGAAGAGAAAATGGTCAG